ACCCAAAGCCGGCAAACCCTGGGTTGTGAGAACTAGTCTCCTCGAGCCAGACGCGGCGCCCCACGTAGGCCGCGTGTCAAGGTTGACCCTATAATTACTCCCAAACAAGCCCCTGAAGAATCTGTACATCTGCTTTACAAGGCCTAAACCCTAAACTCTAAACTGCGGGGGGTAGCAGGATGGTTTGGAGGGATGTAGCCGAGACCAGCCGGCTCAGGTGGGCTCTGCGACCTCATTTGATGGGCAGCTGGGATTGCGGGCTTGGTGGGTTTAAGCGGTTGAGAGTTTCAGATTACAGTCCTACGAAAAAAATCGTCTAAGGGCTTGTGGTTTTGTGCTGAGCTTGTTGGACTAAGCCTGGCAGTCAGCAATGCCATCATGTAGGGTGCACAGGAAGATGTAAATCTCACAGGTGCCACAACTCCATCTTTAGCCATAATATCAACTATAAGCCCTAAACCTCGGTCTATCTCACTCCATTGAACCTTGAGAGAAAATGAGAACGAAATATCGTTCGCATGCAGGATATAGGGAGCTTGCTGGAGATTGCTTTGGAATCTGAGATTCTGACAGAAGCTACAGGAGGGAAAGACTACCAAGAAAGCGCCAGGAAGGGAGTATGTAGCCCACGGCCCCACAATGCATCCGGAAATTCGGCAGCGTCCTAATCCATCACCCATTTCTCAGAAGGGATCCTGAGGCCTCTCATAATTATGTACTTACCCAAAGGATACTAAGTATGTATATGGTACAAAGTAGGTTTCGAAACTTAGGATCCTTTGGGGTACATAGTTCTACGAGGGCAACCCCGTTTTCCTATGTATCCCCACAGGCAGCGGTAAGCTGCAAATGGATTCGCCGAGGCTGCTAGCGCCCGGGTCCTACTCCAGCTACACGCCGCCGCAACTTTGAGAGCCCCTGCTTCCTTTGAAGCCCTAACCCGAAGACTTTTTTGCTGGGGCTTAGTAGGCAATAAGGGAAATATTTTATGGGGAGTATATAGGGATTATATTCGCTTATTCCCGACTGACCACCAGTACTTCTTGAGGGGTGGGGGTGAGGTTTGCAGGCGACAGGGGTTTGTGTTTTGCAGCATTGCGATCAACAAGAGGGGGCTCGTCGAGTCTTGACACACTGCCTTACTCGTACACAGAACATCAAGTCGACTGCACCTTGATTTGTTAGATGGCCGTGGACAAATGCCCCTCCGTCCGGCTTCGTACTGGTATCTGGAAAGTGTGTGCTTGCTACTTTGCCTGCCTTGCTGTAGTTGGCAGAAAGTCTGAACAAGTGCTTGTCCGATGCATCCCTTGCTTTGCCTAGAAAGCGTGTCATGCCAAGGATTGTGGGCAGTCGGCTGAACAGGAGCCTTGAGTTCTAAGAGACTGTCTAACGCAGAGTGCGGTCTATTAGACCCTGTAATCTCCTTAATCTACCCTTATTAATATTAGGGTCCCACTAGGGAACTATAAATTATAGGGTCTAATATCCCATCCTGGAACGCAGAGGGTCAGCCCACCCGGGACTGTCTGGGCTTCGGCCTCACCACTTTAAGCTCGAGTGGCCCAGCGATCTTCATTCACTTGTGGGAGCGCCTTCAGGTGCCCAATTCCCAGCCACTTCGCAGGGTGTTCCAGGCCTTTTCCTGGCCACGCTTGGAACTTGTGGGGCCTCGCATGTGACGTGTCCGTTGATAGACATGTAGGCGTCTTGTCTTTTTCAAGCCTGAACTTGAACTACCATCCTCGCACCATGTCTGTTGAAATTACTGGAAGCTACAGCACTCGAGGTAAAACATGTGGTAGCATGAAAGCCTTTGGAGACACAGAAGGTGAATTTGAGAGCGTCACAGCTACACATGTTTGCCAAGCGCTGTACAGTACAGCCTCACAGTTAGATTGCAAGCAAATTAAACATCTATTCCAAACTCTTTGTACATCAGGCCCTCCCTGCATCGCAGCAAAGTTTGTTTAAGCTGCTACCAGCGCAGCGATCTTCTGCGCTCCTGGCCGAGCTGTTCATAGAATCCACCAGCAGGCACCCAAGTTCAAAGTAAAGTATTCCACCCCAATCGCCGCTGCAAGAGGGTTGTGTGGGGAGCTGGTGTGTTCATTCTTCATACCCCACAATTCCCTGAAATTTCAGCGCTTTTAGCTAAGGAGGCCGTGCTGAGTCTGCAAGAATTTATACTTGGAGGGCCAAGGTAAGAGGCTTCAGAAGGCTTACATTTGGGTTATGAGACCGCTTATGATTCGGTTGAAACTTCGCTGAGCCTCCATGTGAGCCATAGTCTGAACTCCTTGAAGGGGTCTATATAGAGGGTCATATAGGGAACTACTATAGGCTTATTGGGGGGGAGACTAGGAGTTTAAACTACAGCTCATATAGCCCCGGTGTGTGCTCTATTATAATGTAGTAGCTTCCATGTCCTTTTCCGCTATCCGCATAACATCCCTGTATTCCCATATTCCCTTTATTAAGGGGGATACTAGGAGTTTTAGACTATGGTTCATGTAGGGAGTGTGACATTGGCAACGGATCGTGCCTTTCTGCCTGCAGCATGCAATCTCATATGCAGTCGTCTACAGCCATCTCCCTAGGGTTTAGGGCTTAGGGTGGAGGGTTTATTGTTAAAGGCTCAGGGTTTAGGGCAGCTGTTATCTGGTGACTGCCTTCCATGTCTGAAAACGGGCTGTGAGGAGTTGGGGTGGGGTGGCATATACATCATACAGAGGATTCTTCTGGTGATCATGCAGGGCGTGCAGAACTTGACTGTGCTTCATCCACATATATCCAGACAGGCGTTGATTCCTATGTGGTTTTCACAGAGAGATCCCCATATACCCGATATTGTATCTACTTAAAAGGGGGACTGTGGGTCAGAAGTGTGGGATTCCATGGCGCTCAGGCCCTAGGACTTGCGCAAAGTCCTAAGGACTCTCCGGCGCACAATTTTGAAGATCAGTTATTGCAAAAAAGGATTGCGTGGGGACTTCGTGCGATTTGTTGGATCTCTCTATGTCATGCCAATAGACATGTTTTGGGGGGCATGTAAGGGGAATTGATATTAGAGATTGCATGCAACTGTAAGCCCTGAAGCCTAGAGCACCCAGAAAAATTCTACCTTAGGGCCTCAGGGTCGATATCATGCTGATTGCACAAGCCGTGTACTGTAGACGTGCCGCTTCGCCAGGCACAGGTTCTTTTATTGTTGCAGGCACTTCTTGTAAGGGGGTACTTGTACACAAGGAGGCTCATATATTGGGCTCAGCATGGGGGCCACCCATTTTTTGGAAGCCCTGATGTCTGCTATATCTGAAACCCCGAAAACCTCGAGCATTGTAAAATATTGGAATCCACTTGGGGAGAGGGATGAGCACCTTTCGGGCTTGTCCTTGTCCAACCTTGGAATCTCAGGTCAGTTCTCGCACTTTCCCCACCGTCCCCTCTGCTGCAAGAAAACAAACATACTAGCCCGCATTGTGTGTATGTGCGCTTTTTGCAGGTGGGAGGTTCTAAACATAGGAGGGCCCACATTCTAAGATATCAAAATCCTCGCTTACGGACCCGCGCAAGGGGTGTTTACTTTACGGAAAACCCCAGCATGCCGTGTGGTCGAGTCCAGAGTTTGAAGCGGTGATGTATAGGTTTGTCCAAAGGTCATGACGGCCTTTCCAAAAATTAGGGATCTCTTTTTGCGGGTCCCGATAATGAGGCTTATAGTCTATTGGGGTCGATCCTGTGACTGTGTGTTCTTTTCGAAGACCGTGTTGTAAGTAAAATTAGGATCTTGCTTTTGGTGGCCACCGGCAGCTTTACTCAAAGGGCAAACTCCCAAGTGCCCTTCCCTTCCGTGCGGCTTGGCAGCAGTTGCAGGTCCTTTTGTTCGTGTCAATGCGCTTGATGTACAGAGACTTTGGAGATTTGCGGTTCAATACTTGTGGCTCTTTCATTTGGGAGCTTGCAGGGTACACCATGGACAATCCCGATTCTGCCATGGATTATGCGCAAACGCAGTCATACATGTGAACGTATGGTGAACAGGCAATGGGGTTTTGCAAGCGAGCTTTCGAAGGAAGGCCCGCAGTTCAAGACACCCAACAACAGCAGCAGCTGCAATACTGGCAGCTGCAATACCAGCAGCAGCAACAACAACAGCAACAACAGCAGCACCATCAGCAAAAACAGCAGCATCAGCAGCAACAACAACAACAATCAACAAGGGTCAGACGTCTTTGCGATGTGTTCCCTGCAGGTCACATACCGGGCTTCAAGAGCTATTCGGATCTTACAGCTTGTCCTGGCCCAGGAGTAAGATTACGGACTTTGTCCTAACCAATCCATGAGCGCCCCGTATCACAGAGTTGGTATTACTCAGCTGGTTCGCATCATGCAGAGTGGAATGATGCATTGCTTTTGTGTAGGAATAGTTCCTGCCCCTCTTTGCCCCGCAGCGATGGAATAACTAGATGAGAGCAAATATTTGTCTGTGTCCCAGGTAACTGAACCGACTTGCAAACGACGCTGGGGACTCAGACTGGCAGCAAGCTGGAAATTGGCTTGGAGTTGAGTTTTGATGCGTTGGATGAGGCTTATGGTCAGTTTTTCTGAAGTGCCCACAAAAGGGAATCTCAACCTTGGGTGTTGCTTAGATGCGCCTTGCGCCTTGCTGTGACATCGCAGCAGACAAGCAGACCCCGGCTTTCCAGGAACCTCCTTGTACCCTTATTTAGGTGTATACAGAGGGTACAAGGAGGGTCCTGGTTTGATGTTGTGCCAAGTGAATAAGCCCTGGAGATGAATAAGAGGAAGGCCTTTAACAGGAGGCCGATAGTTTGGACGCGCTCCTGAATGAGCCGTAGGCCAACATCCTGAACTATGTCCCAACTAACCCCTAAACTTGAAGCCCTCTCATGCCGGGTGCTTGCCCCATTTACCGCTGTGTCAATGTGTTTAGGAACTGCCTTCAAGTATTTTTGTGGTCACGCCAGGTGAGCAGGATGCGCTTTGCAGTGGCTTGGATGCCTTGAGCCGGCTTTTTCGGGAAGATGTGCCGAGACCATGAAGAAGCTCCCTCCGCTATCAAAAATTGAAGGGCACCCCCTTGATGTGATCATCCCAAGATAAGGCATCTATGAGACATGCATGTTCACCGCCCCAGGTAATCATCGGTAATCAGGACCCTTGAGCTGAGAAGAAGGCTCCCCTAGATGGCCTGCTACACCGGATCTTCCAGCGAAGAAGGTGCCGCACTTCGTCACGAGCAGTTGGAATTCCACCCCCTCAGCCCTAAACCTTATGCAACCCCAATGAAGCCCCTATATATATATATATATA